AGTTATTGTCTAAAAGACAGAAACCCCCATCAAAATGTCCAGTTCAAAGAACGAAAGACCTCCAGGAAAAATTATTGATACATTTTATAATGGTCCAGAATGTCACTTCAACATTAATATATTTTTTTTAAAAAGATAAAATAAATTCTTTACTAATCTAGCCAGGTTTGTTGTTATTTAACATTTTCTTTCCACCTTAGTTACGCCTGTTATCCCTTGTGAAGGAGCATAGGCCGCTCACCAGCATTCTCCATCAAACCCTGCCCTGAGCAATCCTTTCCAGTTGTCTCCAGTTGCTATTTATCCTTTTGATGTCCACTTCCGATTATCGACACGGTGTGTTTTTTGGCCTTCCTTCTTTCCGTTCCCCCTCACGATTTCAAGTTAGGGCTTGCCTCGTCATGCAGTTTGATGATTTGCGCAACGTATGTCCTATCCATTTCAGTCATCCTTCCTAATTTCCTCTTCAGCTGGATGCTGGTTTGTTCTGTCCCACAGTAGGTTGTTGATGATGACATCAGGTCAACAGATAATGAGTATCTTGAATAGACAATTATATGTAAATACTTGTACATCTTTGATGGTGGTTTTTGTAGTTCTCCAAGTTTCAGCTCCGTACAGTAGAACTGTCTTGACATTCGTATTGAAGATTGTGACTTTAACACTGGTTGACAGTTATTTTGAGTTCCATATTTTCTTTAACTGTACGAATGCTGTCCTTGCATAGCCAACCCTTGTCTTCACATTTGCAACATGGACAAATAAGTGGTCTTGATAAGAAACAAAAAAAATTTAGAATAAATATTCCATTTTTAAAACACTGACTTATCGGAAGAAAGCATGTACGAATATAAAACAGGAATATATTATTAATTTACAAAATTATTTAAAACATAATTACTGACTCACACTAGTCTGAATACTTATTGATGTTATGTAATCTATACATATATATTGACTAAATAGACAATATAATTTATTGAACTACCTTCATTACTTACTTATGCGTGTTACTCCCAATGGAGCATAGGCCGCCGACCAGCATTCTCCAACCCACTCTATCCTGGGCCTTCCTTTCTAATTCCATCCAATTCTTGTTCATTTTTCTCATGTCTATCTCCATTTCCCGGCGTAATGTGTTGTTTGGTCTTCCTCATTTCTTTTGGTCTTGAGGATTCCATGTGAGGGCTTGTCCTGTGACGCATTTCGGTGCTTTCCTCAATGTGTGTCCTATCCACTTCCAGCGCTTCTTCCTAATTTCTTCCTCCTCTAGGATCTGGTTTGTTCTTTCCCACAGTTGGTTGTTGCTAATAGAGGAACTCATATATATCTCTAAATGAAATCTCATGCATTATTTGTAAAGAAGCATTTGTCTGAATAATTAAACTAAATTTTAAAAAAATCGTCTTCATAACAAAGTTGTGTAACAAGTACTTACAATTACAGTGAAAAGAAAAATAATAAAATGGACAAGACATAACAAAATTACATATTTGTTTGATTATTAATTCAAATGGATTATTAACAGGTATTGACTAATCAACCTTTGTCATTGCATGCATAACAACGTTTAATTTAAACAAAATCTCTATTTGTCACAAATTATATGGTTTTTGTATTTGACATTCATACAAAGTGCATTGAGAAACTATTTGTATGACAATGATTACAGGTTTTTATTTGAATCCAAGTTTATTTAACTTGACCTTTAAACAGGCATGTTTACACATGTTTTAATTTCAGCCTAGTTCATTGATCAAGTTTTAACAGATTATTGTTTTTGTTTGATAAATACATTAAACTGTTTAATATTCCTGATATTGATTATAAAATAGACATATTAAAAGAAAACAATGTTTTCTTTATTCAATCAACTGGTCAGTCAGTAAATTTGTTAGTCAGGTATGAATTGAAAACAACTAGTAACATATTAATTAATAGTTTACGATCTTCATTTAAAAAAAAAATTGAATGACAATTGACAATAATTGCACAATGACTTGCATTTGAATAATACAGTCGTACAATTATTCAAAACACAATAACAACAAGAGAGAGAGAGAGAGTAATTTTTCCAATAAGTTTTGATTTATATTCGTTGTATACTTTAAATTACTTATTTCAGTCTACAAAACTATACTAAAGATGAAGAGAATAAAAGAAAGTGAAAGCACATTTCACGTATGAACAATAACTTAAAGATGATATATTGACCACAGACGAATATGATGCCGTTTGACTTTTATAGCTTTTTAGTTTAGTAAGAGCTCATTGAGATAATACAAGACTGAGGAAGAGAGAGAAATAGTAAGACAGTTCAAATAGTTACTAGCGTTTATCATATAATATCAGTGTATTTATTGTTCCTTTCTTTTAAATAGTTTACAAAAGGAAATATTGCATGGAAATGTGAAGAAGTACGTCATTCTATCTTAGTATTTGAATTAAATTTTACGAACAAATTAAATTAGACAACTAATAGAAATGGATAGAAATTATAACATTTACCTCTGAATAAGTTGATATCTGATCTATGAATGGTTTATTCTTGGAAGTAATATGTAAGACTGTAAATAGATGTCTACACACGGTAATCATAAAATATAGACGAAAAAAAAGAATGAAATGTAATCTCAGTTTAACATTGCATTGTTATGTTAATTGTAATAATGTTAAATAATAAAAATAACTGAGTGAAGTTAATAGTAAAAAGATAATGACCGAGATAAGAAAAATAAGGATTAAGTAAGATTAAGTTGATGCTCCATATGGATAAATTATGTTAAGGATTTGATTGGTGAGTTACATGTAATTCTGATACACTTCTGAGTATTATAAATCCTTCTGACTATGACAGACTGTAAAATTTAATCTTTTACCTGCAGAGATAATATTTCAATTAGATATATTCATGTTATGATAAATGATACACCAGGATTTATTTAAATATTAGATAACAGAAATGAGAATAACAATAAATGAATAGTTTTTATAAATGAAACTGATAGATAAAGTGTTAATCTAATCTGCTAATATTTATTCCTTTATAGGTTGTCCGCACAGAAGTTCTCCTTATTTGAAGATAGCATAAGTAACTCAACCACTTTTGAAAAAAAGTTTAAAAATTAGAGCAGTAGAACAGTTTAATGGATAAAAATTGGATTTTTGTAACAAATTTAGCGTATTATGAGGTTAACAAATGTGGTATATACCATGAAAAATATAAGATGGAGATACGATTTGATTGGTGACAATTAGAGAATAATAGTTTATCAAGAAAATGATTAGTAACTCATATTTACGTGTTTTGAATATAAGCTAAACGTAATAAATTATGATCAGAATGAAAAAGGCAGTAGACTGAAGTGTATCACATTCACTTGAACTGGTTTCCCAGGTTTTTATATCCTAGTGACTACAGCCTAATGAATTAACATTTAATGTATGTCTTTAGCATATATCAGTTATAAACAATACTTATAAACAATACAATGTTTTCGTTCAGTATAACATTGATTTACTTCAGTATGATGTTTATTCAAGATAATATTCCTTGCATTAATTCAAGGTGAAATTTGCAACTCGGGTTTTTGTAGTAATTCTGTGCGTTGCCCTTATTTGTGATGTTTGTCGACTAATCAACATGTCTGAGTAAAATCGATATATAAATAAGTGCATTCATGTGTTAACCCAACTTATTTCTGGGGTCAAGGAAATCCAATATCATCAGTGTTTATGCTTTCACTACGCACCGTCGGATTAGGGGTTTCAATACCACATTAGTTAAGTATTCTTCAGACGTGACAGTGACAGACATAACATTTTCCAAGAGTTTAAGCCGTCCATGTCAATGAACAAGGTGGGAAAGAAATGAAGATTCAGTGATGTCACTGAATAATTGTCACCTTAAAACATTAATTGATAGAAGTTAGACCATTCAATTTACATAGTGGGTTCTCTGCAAAACTTGAAGGTCATAGATTTAATACTGTGTAGGATTGCAGATGTACATTGTTGATAATTTACCCGTCCATAGAACTTATTTGCCGATAAAAGATGATTGAGTCTTTTCAGAGTAGCAACGATGGAAATGAAAAACGTTTTACAATAATAACGTATTTTTTCCAACGATTTACAACTTGTACCATACCTCACCTTTTAGAAACTTAGTACTATCCATTTATTAATGGATTACTGTTATAATCAAAGAAGTTGGTTTTCATTCACTTTGTAGACTGAAAGTGTATTAATAATTGTAAAGTTTCCTAAAGTCATCTTACATAATAAAATATAGCACAAATGTTAACCCAAGAAACGGGAGAAGAGCCCATACTTTAAAGTCCCTACCTATTCGAATTCATCAACCAGGTATATGTAGAACCCTTTAGATGATATTTTGCACAAATTCGGTTTAATATCACTCATTTAGGCTATCCATAAGTATCATCATTAAAGTCATGTTTGTTCCAAGCTGTTACCTGAAGTAGTAGATTAGATGTGATTAGATTAGAACGAGTCCTAAAGTTTTACAGTTGAAAACAGTTTAAACTGTTTAGATGTTTTCCTTTTTTTTCTTATCAGTGCTGAAGGAAAATCATTTCGTCATTTCGTCTCATCCATACACTATCATTGAAAATAAACTTGTTTCGAACTTGTATTCAATTTCTTTAAAAGTAACAATAAGTAAACCAGTAGACCGAATCGTCCATTATGGATAAATAAGATATGATATTCAATGAAATGTCTCGAGTGAACGTTTCAAAATAAAACTAAATAGTGAAATTAATTACTCAAAAACTGAAATATTTTTTCTATGGTAAAACAGTTTGTTAATTTACTTCTTTTAATGAGTAGTTTTTATTTTTATCATATATTTCGATTACCAATAATTGATTGAGGCCAATTTGCTTGACAAATAAGTAATGGGCGAGACAAGCTTCTTCTGATGGCGCCTGTGAATATCGTTATCTTATTATTATTATTATTATTATTATTATTATTATCATTATTATTATTATTATTTTTGTGGACAATAAATTATTAGTCATGTTAACTAACCGTTATTATGATTGGTCTAGCAAACAACCGGTTTTTATTCACTTTCACTTATTCCATTGACTATAGGCCAGAAGTGATATTGAACCAACCAATTATACAGATAGTATGATCTAAAAATAAGTTATTGAGTTTCTTACTATTATATTTAATAAATAGATGAAATTACATGAGAATAAAATGATTACATTTTAATTTTTATTTCACATTGCAAAACTATCCGACTGATATTAAGAATTTTGTGAGGAAAACCTTCCAAGTGAGCTCACAGAAAACTAATCATTTGTGCTGAAATTTAACAAATATGGGTTTACAGCAAGAACCTAGTAAGTGAATCCACCTAATTGAATGTACTTCTTTTGTGATATTTCTGAAAAATAGACATTCCTATCGAATTTTGGTTTTTAATGGTGGTAATTACAAATAATTTGTTTTCCGAAATAAAATCAAAATAGCTTTATATAAACAAAAGAATTGAGGTTAAACGAAATATGGTTAAATGTGATCGAGACCGAGGCTCTGCGTTTGAATCATGCGAGCGGGATCATGGATGCGGACCGCTGAGGGGTCCCACAATAGGAAAAAACGGTCGTCCAATGTTTTCAGGTTTTCATTAGCGGTCTAAGATCAGTCAGTTCATGATCTCAATCAAAAAGATAATCTCCACAACCCCATGCAGATAAATGTGACTGTGTTTTCTTAGAAGCTTACAGATATTTTACCAAAAATAGTCTATGTACATGTATTTAGAACAAATACAGTTTATTCGAATGATTGTAGCAACAATAAATCTACGTAAATGTCTGGTACAATGAGTTCGGAGCAGCAGTTTTAAGATAATGGCATAATCAATTTGAAATGAATACACAATGACCATGATAGAAATTATTTATTACCATAAAGTATTATGAAATCACGAGACACTTAGGCATTAGAAGGTTTAGTGAAATTCGGGTCTTTTATTAAGACCCTAGGAACCAGACGAGATCTGCTATTCTATGATCTGAAGATCATATTTTAATTATAGTGGTGTTACTGGCCCCAAAGAAAATTAACTTCTAAAGAGATGAACTCGTGTATTAACCATTTCAGTAACTAATATCTTATTGATCAGAACCCGAAAATCTTCATAAAAAATCTTCCAGTATTCCATAACCTTACCGGGATGTAATCTATCGGATGTTAATACGTATAATGAAGCATTTGTGTACTATTGTCTCATTGACTCATTAACGTTTGATACTTTAAATAACTTAATTTTGTAAAAGAGTGAAAAAATGTTCTTATATTGCTTTGTCAACCAAAATTGAATTACAGATGGATCAGGTTATCAAAACAGAGATTACTATTAACGGTAATCTATAAAAATTGATTTAATTTAGTGTACATGTCCTATTAATTAATAATTCTATTTGTATCCAATTCAGCTTACAAAAGATTAAAACTAAGAGTTTTAAATAAATCTCGTTATTTCTGAGCAACTTTCAAGTGTATTATATAAATTAAATAGCAGGAAATTTAAATTCCTTATTTTTCTCATTCCCATTAGTATATTTCAACATGAAATCATTTTATTTTTATGCATGAAATGTACTTCCTACAGAGTGACTAGCATTACTACCGTGGAGGTTAAATTTATCAGCTTCCATTCTTTAGGTTTTAGGTTCATACCTTGTTCATTATTTTCAATTTGTGTTGATGAGTAGTTTCACTATCGTTCACATGAGCAGTATTGGTTAAAATTGAATACATAAACGTATTCCTAGTAAATGAGCTACACTATTTGATTTAACCAATACATCGAGGATTTAAGAAATTATTAAAAATTCACTGATGGGATTGAACTATTCATAAGATTACTTGAATACGATTATGTAAATCATTGTCTGATTTCGATTGTTTACTTATTACAAAAAACGAGATATTTATCATCCTATTCGTTATCATTATTCTGTTTTGTGTTATTTACTTTTACATATAGTTATGAGTAATATTTATATCACCTCAGGGATTTTCTCTTATTTATCACATTTGTGAATAGAATGATTGTAAATATCGTTCTCAAAGATAAATAGATATAGTCAATCAGGTAAGAGTAATCTTATTGTCAAATGGCCAATTATTAGTTATATCGGGATACAGGGTTATTGAATAACTTTGTAGTGGCTGTGCTTCGTTAACCAATCAACCTCGTAACCGTTATTGTATAATCCTCAACGGTGTTTGAAATCAGATGGCAAAGAGAAGCAGCGACTACAGTTTTATTAGCAGATAACTTAGATCACAAAGCAGTGAGGCGAATGAATAAGTCAGCGAACCGAGAGTTTAGAGTGTAAATGTACATGTATATATTTAGGGAGATGAATGGATCATCGAATCAATAAAGCAGTTAATAATAAAGCTAGCAGAATGAATATATACGTAGGCGGTAAGCAATGTTCGAGCATACATATTTCATACAAGCACAACAATAATAATGGTACAATAAGTTGTTATTAGTACGGATGACTTTGTCCGCTAAATAAGTTAACAAAAGGGCTTAACTGAATTAAATGAGAACAAACTCAATTGCACGTGAGTTGTTATAACTTATTTGAACTATTTCTGTATAAACAAGTATATGGATCAGAGCGTTTTAATTTTACCAAACCATTTTTTTTATTGTAAGTGTAGAGGATGATAGATTTTTGATTGAAATGTTCACATTTCTTCAATGACTAACTGACAAAGCATTTTTTTATCACTATAATTATTAATCAATAAATAAATTGTAAATTTCTGTAATTTACCCTAAAAGGTTTGCTATCGAAAAGAGGATATTACTTTATTTACTGTATTGACTGAGTGGTTGTAAAATGAATAATCACTACAATGAAAACAGTATTACGTTATTTGCAAAATGTTTCGCCATTCATCTTATACTGTGTAACAGAATTTTTGTGATGTCATAATTGAGATAATCAGCAAACTGATTGAAGTTGGAATGTTGTACAATAGTTTAGTGGTAATATGTTTAATAATAATATTGAGGTATATATTGGTCCTCTTAAAATTATAGATACAAGTCGAAGTGTGCTGACCAATAAGAAAGCTAAGTTTGGTGTTTCTTATCGTTTGTTACCAGCCACTTGGTATAAAGCAGAATATTTAAAAGTTCGTTCAATAATAGTAGTCTGCTAAATATGTTTAATCTTTTATTGTGATTATTCAAAAAAATTGTTTTACTGATATTTATCTTATCCTAGTGTTATCAGGCAAAACTGACCAGAATAAAGAAACACCAGTAGTTACAAGTCAACCAGTAAATATAATTCCTTTACAAGACCATCCAATAACTTTGAAATGTCCCAACTGTCATGAAGAAATTGTAACGAAGATTAAATATCGTAATGGTATGCTAACTTATGCAGCTTGTACAGGTTTATGCATACTTGGGTAAGTTGACAACAGTGTTTGATTTGATATTCACTTGTCTAAAAAAGAGTTATTTCTTAATATATAGACAAAATGTTTATTATTTTGAAAGTGATTATTAACCAGTAATAACTTCAAAACGGATAATCATTTCCTAATATTGTATGTTTCATTGAAATTTTAATTCTAATATTTAATTCATGATCAATACAAAGTTTAATGTTTAATTATGCTAAAATGTATTAGTATGTAAATGTATGTGTCGTGTAGTTGTTGTTATGTCAACCCAAGTGTCAAATATTCTGAGGCGTTTAACCATACACTACTTGACTGTCTAAGTGTAATTCAATTGGTCAAGTCATTAAATAGACATAAGTAATGTATTGTGTTATGATTTGCTTTATATAAACCAAAATTCGAATTACTTTTAATGGTTAATCGCTTTTAAAATTGACAGTATGTTACTCAAAGTCAACTAACAATACCATGTTACAAAAATATTCCAAAATTGTTACTAATTTATAATTTATAAATTAGGCATGTCTAGAGTGTGATCTCTTACCATTTTTGACAATCATCTGAAGATTGTATAATAGCCCAAGGTCACTGATAGTTAACAGTAAACCTCCAAACGAATATAAATAAAAATAATATATTTGTAATATCCCAATGAGTAGAAAATTAGATTTTCTGACGTTTCGTGACTAGTGTAAGCCACTTCTTCAGAGAATAAATAACCAAATTAAAATTAGTCCAAGTTTAAATAGTACTAATTAAACTTGGACTAATTTTAATTTGGTTATTTATTCTCTGAAGAAGTGGCTTACACTAAGTCACGAAACGTCAGAAAATCTAATTTTCTACTCATTGGGATATTACAAATATATTATTTTTATTTATAACAATCCACCCAATGCTCAATTTATTCGAAATTATCAAATCGGACTTTGGTAATGATACCTACTCCAAACCTTTCTTCAATCATTTATATTCGATATAAGTTTAAGTAATATGGAGTGCATAATGCTATGAAAATTAGTATTGATGATGGAGTAGATTTCAGCGAAATTGAATAGTGGAATAATCCAGCAACTGTAAATTGAGATTTAGGATATTCAATGTTAATCATTAGTAGTTACTTTCATCCAAGATTGATAAATTGATTATAATCATCATTTAAGTATAGGTATTTGAATCTTTAAAATTTGTATTAATTTCCAGATCACTTTGTTTTGATTAATATACTGAAACCTTTTTAGGATACTTCTATTTGATATTGATTTTCACTATATTATACTAGTGGGTAAAAGAATAATTTATTTCCCGAGATATGGGTGTCATAATTTAATAGCCTATCAAATAGTGCATCGAATTTTGAAAACTAAATAGATAGTTAGTTAAATTCCCAGTGAAAATTTCAGAGTCTGACAAGTTCAAAATTAGGTTAACATGCAATTAAGATTTCAATATTAACTGTTAGTAAATAAAAGTATACAATTTACCCATAATTTCTGTGTTCAATACGGTTTTGTATATATATATATATATACTGTTTTTTCTTTTGTACTATTTAAACTTGTGTTAATTTAATTCGGTTATTTATTTACTCTGAAGAAGTGGCTTACATTAAGTCAGAAATACAAATTTTCAACTCATTGGGATATAACAAAAAATATTCATTATAGAAACTATCAAGTTCAACCTTGGTATTGATTACCTATAAAAAAGTTATAGCAATACTGTTTAATTCATGAAAATTAGGAAAAAATCTTCACTCTTGATTGTTCGAATGTTCGAATCAAAATTCTGTTTGTATTGAGATGACAAATGTTAGTATTATTATAAAATGGATGAATTTTACTGTAAAAATAATTGATCATTAATTGTTCAAAAGGTAATCACTATCAACTTAGAAAATAATTTCTAACCACTAAGCTATAGAATGATAAATTATTCTGTTTAAACTTGGCTTCAAGTTTAATAAGATTGGCTACTGTGGAACTTCGCACTGATAATAAAATCAAAAAATAATTTAGTTTAATGGTATAGTATTAAAAGAAAATGTAACATAAAACTTCAACGTGCTATAATTAATAATAATCATAATAATAAGATAAGACGAAAAACAAACAAATATTCAGTGCTCAATGGATGATAAATGATTTTCTCCAAGCAAGTTATATCAGTTTACGAAGTGAATAGTTTTCAAATTAACATGTTCAGTTAACATTCAATTAATAATTAAACTGATTATCTTTCATTTTGTGTATTTAAGGTGCTTCTGTGGCTGTTGTCTCATTCCATTTTGTGTAAAAGCATGTAAAGATGTTGATCACAAATGTCCTGAATGCAGTCATCACATTGGAACATATCGCACGTTACAAGAAAAATATATGAAATAATGTTGATTTGCAAATATGTTGTGATATATACTTTTGTATCAAATTGGTCAATGAGTATGTTTCTTTGTTAATTTTCTCTCACAAATACATTTATCACGAATATATAGATTTATTTATTTGTTATTTATTTATTTGAACACATAAATATTGGTACAAGAGGGCACCAAATATATATGCGCCACACATAATAATAATAATAAGGGTGGAAACGGAAAGATGCAACCAGAAGAAATCTTTCAGTTAAGGGAGATACAACCAATTTATATGAAGAAAAGTAAAAGAAGCCAGCAGGATCGCCGCTGGCTTCTATTCTGAGGCATATCTGATAACGTCTCTAGCCAATGTGTTGCACCATCTCTCGGACCCCAACCAGGGGGTCGTGATGGACCGACAGAAGCCAGTCCTTTGCAACTTTCTTTCATGCCATGACACCATGTCATGCACTGACCACCTCTCCGCTTCTTCCAACCAGTCCCAGAGTCGGCAAATAATGCACGACGTGGAATTCTCTGGGACGACATTCGTGGAAAATGTCCAAGCCACCGAAGTTGGTGTTTCAAGATGGTGATACCAATTGAATTATCGTCTCTGTGCTCGAAAACACGATGCCGAACCTCTGCACTACGAACATGGTGTTGCCACTGGATGTCAGCAATCCCTCGGAGACAACGATGATCGAACACAGAGAGTCGTCTAACATCCTCAACTCGGAGAGGCCAGGTTTCACAAGCATAGAGCAAAACTGCTCTCACCGACGCGTTGTAGATCCGACCTTTTACAGCCAGACTAACATCACGAAGGCGCCAAAGATGGCCCAGATTGGCATAAGCCGCTCTGGCTTTCACTATACGTGTGTTGATCTCATCACTCACACCTCCACCAGTACTTATGCAGCTACCTAGATACACGAACTTCTCGACTACGTCTATCTGCTCACCATCCAGGGTGCGTACAGGATTAGAATCCTGCCAGTGTTGTAGAAGAACTTTACACTTCGAAGGTGCAAAGCACATACCATACCTACGGACACTGATTGTCAACTGATTAAGTGCGGATTGCATGCCTTGGGCATTATCGCACAGTAAGACAATATCGTCCGCATACTCAAGGTCGAGAAGTCTTTCTCCAGGCAACAGATCAACACCACCATTACTTACATTCACCAGAGCTGTTTCCAGAATGTCAACGAGGGCAAAGTTGAAGAGGAATGGTGAGATTGGGCAACCCTGCCTAACCCCACTGCTCGAATGGAACAATCGAGAGAGGTGGTTGTATGCCCTCACTCTGCCTGAGGTGTTTGTATATAGGGCTTTTAGGATGTTAATAAACTTCTCGGGTACGCTCTTCTTCAATAGACAATCCCAGAGAACAGTTCTATCCAACGAATCGAAGGCAGCCGTGATGTCAAGAAACACTACGATTGTTAGCCTTTGATTAGTATGGCGGTGTTCTAACATTTGGCGGAGGGTGAAGATATGACCAACACATCCTCGACCAGAACGAAACCCAGCCTGCTCCTCGCGAGTCAATCGTTCTCGGGTTTTGAACAGTCTACGAAGTATGACGGAAGCCAATAGCTTGGACGCAATCGGAAGTAGACTTATCCCCCGATAGTTGTTACAGGAACGACGTGAACCCTTTTTAAAGACAGGGACAACTATCGGCCAATTCAATGACGTTGGTACACTCTCTAGCTCCCAAACCTTTGTAAACAACGTCGTCAATTCCTTAATCAGAAAGTCACCACAATCCTTAAAAAGAGCCGGAGGTAAGTCATCTGGGCCAGGAGATTTGTAGCGCTTCAAGAGTTGGAGTTCCTTGTGGACTTCCGCCTCATTTGGTGGATCAGTCGTCACCGGCCATGGAGGGCAGGACAGTCTGACCGATGTTGCCGGGGCAGCAGGCCAGTTGAACTGCCCTTCGAAGAATTCTGCCCACCGTCCAAGACGTCGATGGATGTTAGTGATTGGCATCCCGTCATCCTCGCAGATTGTTTCACTCACACCAGACTTCTTGCTGCCAGTGGCTCGGATGAGTTGGAACCAATATATAGAAGAATAAATTCATCCAGCCAATTTATCTTGTGTTCATTACTGACTGATACTCCGATCGAGGATATTCAGTTGATTTAATTGATGATGTGGATTGTACACCAACGACTGGTTATCATGATGTAGTTGTTGTAGGTGTCTGATGGTCTGTAACGTAAACTTTGAAGGAAGTACTTAACTAGATAGTGAATGTGATGTGGTGTGAATGGAGATGAATCGGATATTTACAATGTAGATTGTCACAAGATCTAATATTTCCAGTGAATTTAATGTTTCCACAACCTAGCTGATGGTATGTGATGTGGATAGCAACAGAAGCTTCATGTTTTAGTGTAATCATGCTTTTTAATTTCATTCATAGCTTTGAACAGTAGTTCGTGTAGTAGTGTCAGATTGTTTATTTGTTGTGTTCATTTAACTTCATGCAAGATATTTCTGAAACGACTATATTTATACATTTTCAGGTCGTTATATCACTTGCTTATCAATTCAACTGAAGTTATAATTTGGGTTTAATTTGTTAAGGGGCATAAAAAATACAGTTATTCATCGTCAAGCTTGAATGTACTATATTGTTCAGCAAGTATGTATATACTGATATACTCGCGCGCAAATAGTTAACCTCTAGACCCCTGAACCGGCATCCAACGGTTATAATGTCTAATTTCGATCAATCCACGATATTGTTCGGCCATCTTCCATTGTCTTTGAGGAGTGACTGCCACACATATGGCATTGTTGATCTCCACTGATCGCGGCTTATTACTAGTGCTCCGAGAGCCACCTCTCGAAGCTAGTTACTAGTGAGAACATGATCATTATCATTATAGGCTTGTAGAGATTAACAGATAATCCCCATTTAAACATTAAAAACACGAGGTTCAGCAAAGAGATCTCCTTTCAACGAATTTATTATTAAGCTGTGCAGTCGTATATACATGAAATTTATTTCGTTAAAGTGCTAGTTCCGTGAGGAAGTGTGAACAAGGAATAACCAAGATGGTGTAAAGACTGCTCAATTTTATTTGAGCTCACTAATCGACCAATGTTAGACCACCACTGGAAACCTGGAAGCACTGAACGGTCGTTTCATCCTAACATCCGACTCCTCAGCACTTTTCGACGGTGATCTAACATTGATCGGTTCATGAATTCAATTAATGCCTGATATGTACAAAAAGCCAAACTATTTGTACATTATTGTACACCTGTATCATGTCATTTTCAAATTGATATGAACGTTTCTTGTCAAGCAGTACTGCTCATAAACTACGAAGCGTAGAGTTCACGCTTGTAAAAAAATATTTTTTACAGTTTCCATTAAAATAAAAATAGTTTCCGCGTTAAGTGTTTTCACACTGTGAGAACAATATTATAGACACGGATCTCAAAACGTTGAAGATTGACGACTAATTGATATTTGAACCACTAGATTCGAGATCAGAATTTCAAAAAGTGAATTTCGAGTCAGCTAAATCAATCCCTTCAGTCTTTCCACTAATCAAATGAGGTGTGATTATTTTGATTCTCCAAAGAAAATAGTATTACCTAGAGTTATGGAAACTAAACTATTTTATGGGTTGATGATAACATATTCGATCTAAATTATTTTGCTATATTAGGGGTTGAAAACTTCAGTCATAACAAATATTGGTTTCATGAAAGAGGTACGTATGAAATACTCAATCGAAATACAAATGAAATAATTTGCTTGTTGCTTTTTGCTAATGTGATAACCGGGTGGTACCATTAAACAACTTTTGGTTAAGTTTGACATTGATTAGCATTTCATTGTGAGTGACTATGTCATACATGTCATAGTTCATACTGATGTAAACGAAGCTAATGGGAGTTCGTAAATATCGCTCGAAAAATAACTTCAGAGGTCCGGAGAAGGGGTAAAAACGTCTTACCCAGTCAGCATCAAACAGACACCTTAGAGAAATATTTAAAAAATGAAGAGTTTTGTTCTGTTTTGATTAGATATCTGCTTATGCTGTCACCATATTAAGTATATTTCCAGGGATTTTTGGAAGATCAAGATCCTATAAAACATCACAAAGGCACCTAGTTTTCTGAATATCATTGTTCTTGGAGTAAAACTTTAGCTTGCATAGCATGTCTTTTCTCTATTGTTTAGGTGGAAATGTAGAAGTAGTTCAGGGTTATAGGAAGCCTTTGAGATAACGGCAACGAGAGTTCAAACGCCAGACTTATAAAAAACACTGAAATTATTTCTACATGTTTACTAGTATAACGTCATTTGAGAATATTCTAAACCTAATAATTACATAGTTATGTCTAGTAAATTAGAACTATGAATATGATGTTCAACATGTGAATTACGCGTCAACAATATTTCAGTTATGATATAGAATTTTCCCATCATTCATAGAGTTTACATTCATCATAAATCTATTCTAACAAAAGGAATGTTTCGAAAAGTAAATATCTCAGGAACTATTAAGGGACTTCAAAAACACTTTTCTGTGCCTACCGTATAGTTCAACCACGGAGGAATGACTGAAAATCAAAGTAAATGCATGAAAATTAGCATTGCATGGGAAAACAAATATTATTAGTAATTTCGAATTAGTAACGTTAAATTTATATAATCAACCATGTTACTTATGAGTAGTTGCTATTTTACAACACATAATTTAAAGCATAGTGACCAAAGCTTCATACATATCTGTATAGACAGTACTATGAATTTATCTGTGTAAAAGTACATTCTATGATATTTCTTAGCATTCGCATTCGACTGTATGATCTTTAAACACAAATTTATATAAGTTGAAAATGTATGAAATTTATTGTTGACATGATATATAAACTAGGGTCATCTTAAGCGAATATAGATTTCACTTTTATACAACTTTAGTTGGTATCCTGTCAAGATGATTTAAGTCCACTTAACCTTTGTCATCTTAAATTAGTGATATTTTCCTTCAATATCATCCACCGAGAGAAGTCGCCTTAATAATAGTTCAAAGTGTAGATTACACCGGATCCTTTCAACATTATCAGATACTGATTATCTGCTTTCTCCATTTTACCTACAAGGAATCTATTAAGTAAAAAGTTATTATGATACTACAAAAAAGACGTTTAAGAAATCACAAACGATTAGAATGGCAGCAGCGTTTTCTATTCATGTACGACTTAGTACACAAATCCATGATTATTTTTGTTCTTTCAAAACAACAAAAAATCTTCAGATCATTCAAACAGTATAACAAACTCCTACCTACATAAACTCTGATATCAATGTTAGAGATAATAATTCTTGAAATCGTCATTTCAAAACTCAGCATAATATAGTCTAACTTTGTTTTATTACAAGTGAAAATCACTAGATAGTTTCTCTTGCTTTTCTTTGAAGAATTGATTATAGCAAAGATATATTACAAATGTCATATTTGAACAATCATAAAATAATGTATATTTGAAGGTATGCAAGTGTTTATTTATGTTACTGAGAGTTGTTTTGAAATAAATTCTCAGCGAAGATGTTAACAAACAAGTTACTTTATAAGCTCAACACAAACACTCACATATCATGAAATGTATCAAAAAGGTTTTTTTGTATCACGATGATGTATTACGAAAAGATTACGAAGTACATAAATTTATGCTACTCCTCAGACAATTAAAATAACCCATAAATCCTCCTATAGACATACATTTTCCATATAACTATATATACGAATGTACAGCTTAAGTAAACGATTTCGTCGAAAAGAAAATTTTCTTCGCCGAATTCTCTTTTTCCTATTATGCTACTCCATTATTCCATTCTTACTTATGTTATCTATCTCTTGATGAAAGTTAATCAAGAGAAAATTTTCTTTAAATCGTACACAAATTGTAGAAAATCACTGATTATTTGTTCAGAAAAATGTAACTTTTATTCAGTTAATCAATAAATCACTTTGTATATTTGAATCTCATGAATGTGACACAAATCAAATGGTGAACAATGTTCCTTTTCATAGAAACAACAATCATATCATTCATTATCATTAGAATAAATATTTGATTATTGAAAAGTTAGGAATCAAATTGAAATCCTATTAAATGTTAAACTTTTAAATAAAACTAACTCATTTCATATCAAACATTTGTATTATTATTGAATAAACAAGCTTACATAGTAGAATAAAATGATTTAAAACTGTAATTATATGAGAGTTTGATATTGATATGTCGAGTATGAATTCATTATTATTAATTAGCTTGATTCATCTTCTAATATTAAATGCTCAATCTCCTAGTCTACGATAAGATCCAATGTATCTGTGACAACTTGGGCATTTATGATCCACATCTTTACACGCTTTCACACAGAATGGTATTAAACAACAACCACAAGCCCCTCTGTACAAAAAGAATGAAAATTAAATGGACTAGAATAAACTATAACTTCTAAATTATTGAAATAAAATTAGTTTTCATATGAACTAGTATTCACATTTATTAATTTTAATACATTTGAAAAGCCTAATATGTGAGGTGATGAATCTACCCATGTTAGACCACCATTGAAGACCAGGAAGTACTGGAAGGCCGTTTCGTCCTAATATGGGACTCCTCAGCGTTGCGCATCCACGATCCCACATATTGGATTCGGAGCCGGGTCTCGCGCGCAAACGCTTGACTTCTAGACCACTGAACCAGCATCCGTCGTCCCAATCAAAAACTCATCAATCTCTACAACCCCATACTGACAATTAACAATACATCGTTCACCAGAATACAGAAAGTCATCATTAGATATCTAGACGAAAATATTTTTGCATCATTTCATTGCTAATATGTAATGGTGTTTTACATTTATTTTCTGGAATTTTCCTTCTCATCAGTTGACATTCACTCTATCACTACTCTTTTTTTTAGAAACAACGGAGTTCATGTCTAAATGTACGTGAAAAGTTTTCTTTAAATAATTCATAAGGGATCGATAACAATTTCAGAATACAAAATAACTCAATCATCCTTGTATGAAAATTATTTGCTATAACAAACTCTATGACACAACTATATATAATTAGAAATGAAAGGTTGAAAAACCTGTGATCAAATTAAGACGAACTTTCATCTTTTCAGCATTTAACTAATCGAAAGTGATGTAACTTCTCGATTTTTGTATGTTGATGTCAAAGATTTTACTAATAGGTTACATAGTTTAAAACTACATAAGTTTATTTAAAGCATTTTATCCTTTTTAATTCTTATGAGGATGAATTAAAATAACTTTATCGTAGCAACCCATATACATGTATGTTTATATCCGTCACTATGAGTATCAGTATTAATTTATTTAATCAAAATCTATTCACTTATATATCTAACTTTGATCTGTTGTTATTACAAGGTTTCTAGCGTCTAATGTTGTGGGTGAGATACAGTGTCACTCTCTTGACTTAAACAATCACAACTTCCTACTATAACATTGGGAAATCTACGTACAATTTAGTTTCTTGTGGATGTATCATTATTAGAGAAAGTTTTCATGCCATTATTAAGAGATGATGGTGTATACTAAATTGTCATACAATACCATAATATGATAGCATTTAAATAAGTTCACTTCAATAAATAACAAATTAGTCTTTATTTTAATAAACATAATGTCTGACAACCAGGATAATCTTTATTACTCTACTTTTTAACATCATTTGACTGAATAAAGGTTGTATGAAAATCGAAATGAATCACTTTACTTTTTTTTGTAATGTTGCTATCACAATGTCGTATGAAACTTATTAACTAGAATTTTATCTATAATAATAAGTAAATTAACATCATAAAATTAACTAACCTACCCAAAAAGGAATATACCGATACAAGCTGCATAAGTTAATAAACCATTATGATATTCTAATTGTGTAGATATATCTTTCCCACATGATGGACATTTTAAGGTTGTTGATCTATCTCTAAACTCTTCTCGTGCTTTTGGTTGATTAGTAGTGATCAGTGGAACTTCAACTTTAGATAGTGTTTTCTCTATAAGATATAAAAAAAACCAGATTGTATTTTGTAAAATGAAAGAAAATTTGAAATTTAATGAAAATGATTCTTTCACTGTATAATGGCATTTACATGGTAAGTAACATTTGATGGTGAATAAAAATTTGATTTTAGCTAACCAATGGTATTCTCAAGATATGATTATATACTTTCCTGTAAACATTTTCTTCTGATTAGATTAAAATTAATTTTTGTTTTGAAAAGCTAAAATTTTGATATCCTTTGTGGTCTCATCATCAATATAGTTGTAGTAATGAACAGATCTATACCGATATAGTCTAACATTAAAACTTAAATCTGTTTGACCCTTATTAAAAATAGGCTATTTTTTAACACAGATGAAAGGGATATGGTTTCTCAAGCTACAGGCATCCAAATTTATCCTCATAGATTTTGAAGATACAATAATCGAGTAAGTATTGATAAGTTAGTTACAACTGATAAAATACAACTAAAAGTTGACCACTACTTTTAAATATAGATATTTTAACCGGTAAACATAAAGAGCAATACATCCGATGATTTAAATGTAAAAAGAACCACTAGATGAATTAAAAAGCACTTAATTAGTACTTAGAAATCACAATCAGGAACGTATATAATGACTGAATATAACTATTTTTATTTTTGATTGAGGTCATGAACCGATTGATGTTAGACCACCATTGGAAACCTGGATGCACTGGACAGCAGTTTCTTCTTATCGTGGGACTCCTCAGCAGTGCAAATCCACGATCCCGCTCGCGAGATTCGAACCTAGGGCCTTCAGTCTCGTGCGCGAACGCTTAACCTACTGGAACACTGAGCCGGGATCCAGTGGTGATAATGTCTAACCTCAACCAATCCACGAAGTTGCGCAACCATCTTCCATTGTACTGAGGTAGATACCTGTCTCTATCCGACATGGATTAGCTCCACTGGTCACGGCTTCTAACTAGAACTCTGAGAATTCCCTCACGAAGCTAGTCACCAGTGATCACATGTTAATTGTCAGTATAGGGGTTGTGGAGATTACTAAGTTTTGATTGAGATAATAAACCAATTGAGGAGTCCCACAATAGGACGAAACGGCCGTCCAGTGCTTCCAGGTTTTCAACGGTGGTCTTACATCAATCGGTTCATGATCTCAATCAAAAACTCAATAATCTCCACAACCCCTATATTGAGTATTTTTATTACTCGTTTTGCTAGCTGTCAGTTAGAAAATTCCAAAATATCTTGTTTCTTGATCTAGTGAATAGAATCGAACTTAGCGTTTTCGGAATCCAGTATTAAATTTATGTGAATTAATCATTTATGGAAAAACATATGGATAAACAAATTTACACATCTGATATATAATCGTAAGCCATATATTATAATCACATATCAAAATCATCTGCAGTTCTGTTGGCTAACATTAGGGATTAAATAACTGAAGAAATAATAGTTGGGTAAATATACACATTTTTCTTCATCTAACCGATCAACATATGTCTAGTTACTTTAAAAATATTTCGAAGTATTAAGTTAACAACTGTTTGATTAGTTACAAATAAGTTATTCTTATCAGTAAATGACGAAGTAAGAAGGCATTGATAACGAGTATTGAGTTCACGAGTTTTATAATGAGATGCACATTTCGAGTGTTTACGATTTTGATTTTACAGACATAATTGCTTACAAATCTCAAATGAACGATTCAAAAAGGGGGGGGGGAAACACACATTTTCGCTTGCTGACCCTATATTGACAGATGAAATGTTGAACAGCACCTTCTTTGTTTAGCCTTTACAACACAACTGATCTTACCATTCACATAGTCATATTCAAAACTGACTATTAACTAGGAGAATGAAATGTTATGTATGCCCATTGGCCACTGAATGATGATTGTTGTTGTTATCAAATTTTATTTAACCAGTCAAGGAGATTATGATGAAAATACTAACTTGTTTAGTAGGACACTGATTCAGTTTGAAAGATCTAAAGTAAATTATTGGATATACTGAATATCATCAAGTGTCGATAAACGTTGATGAATACACTTGAAACACAGATCAGTTTTGCTATACGACTCCAGTAAGGTTTTCGACTAAATGATTATCATGATTGCTAACCAGTGTCAAACATTTTTTATCAGATGAATCACAAGCTATGCATGATTTGGGACATCAGAATGAGGCATTGAAATTGTGTCACATCTTGAAAAGTGTAGAGCAACATTGTCTCACAAAATGTTCTGACTTACCGGATTGCTTCTGCATATCTCAGTACTTCACACTTGCGTAAGATGATGAAAATCGAATCAATCAGAATCTGGTGATTGTTGATTGAAGCGATAACAATATTTTAACCACACATTCTTAGTGAATGATCTCTTTATATAGGTTGAGTTTAATGTAAACTTTGTAAGATATTGATGAATGAAATTATTAATGATAGTTGTATTGGTTATACTAACCTGATATTCCACTTCTTACAACTAATTGGGTCAAGAAAAAAGTGCATTGTTGTTTATTAGTTAATCAGTTTGATGAAACTTAAATGTGCATACAAACGTAATTGGTCATCTGATAGTAACATTAAATGTAATTATATCAATAAATAGCAAAAAATACATGCATGCAAACGTGAGTAAATATAGTTTGGTCCGCTTAACAAGAATATAAAGGTTTTTCCTATACAAACGCTTTTATTGCATTGGTAATTGATAACATTTTTTTAGCTTTCCAATCATGTTTCTACAAACGATAATTCTTATGTCATGTTATTCTGTAAAAACTAAAGGTAGTATTTGGAGCTTTACGGTTTCTCATTGTATGAATTGGTGGGTTGTTCAGTATGAAGATGGAACACTTTTTTCAGTGTTTATTGGGTGGTAACGATTGTCGAGTTCGTAGTGATCAGCAACAAAACCCTTTTAAATTGACTGGGTTGATCCACATATAAAGAATCCTCAATTAATAGGTATAACTAAGTGCCTTACTACGAAATACATTAATGCCGCCTGTTTGAAACAGATTACCAGGATTCACAGAATAAAGGGATTAACTAACATCCAGCATATTTTGAGTATCATTTACCTAGGAAACACAATTACCAATGTATACTGAGAATCATCTGTTTTGTATTACAGTTTGAGTGAGTTTTCGGCATCAATGAGTATTGGTATGTAAACAGTGCAGCAATTTCAGAAATTTTGTAGACATACCTGAAATGGAATTTCTGTTCATTATATCTACATACACACCATGGTTTTCACCACAAAGTACAAAAGTTGAATTTTTTACTTTACTCCAAATTTCTTATAAGTTTAAAGAAATAAAAATAATAGTGCATTTATTCAATAATGTGTAGTGACTCAATTTTATCACGAGAACACGATTGGTTTATTGAAAACAATTATTATTATAACCAATTGTACCAGTGACTGTTTAATGTGCTCTTTGCTTAACTGTGCTAAAAACATCCATTATACTCACTTTGATTGTGACCTCGCGCGAATCCGATTACGCTCAGTAACCAAGCTTGTATCCTGGCACGATCTCGGTATTCTTTCGGTACCACGAGATCGCCAGCAAATAAATCTCGACTGGATCCATTAACTGCCTTCTGATATTTGGCTTCCGGGGGATTTTATGGATATTCTGGTACGCGTTCCTTTGTAGTGGTGTTCAAAGTCAACTGGGACTCGACACCACACTACAAATGCATGCTCAGTACAACATAGAAGTCTCAACGAACTATATTCAATAAATTCATGTTGCCCATAATAATGTTGCACATCATTTGTACTTTGAATTAAAGCACAGATTCCAATATATCTGCTGTTTTTCTTTCTGAAGATAAACAAGAAGCATGTAGATGAAGTGGGTTTGTACCTAATGAAATAGCACTTATAAACTTGTTTGCAAGATTTCAAATATTTATCCACAACTATATAATGGCTGTAAATGCTTCACTATATATTTTGCTAGTCCCCTTGATCGCACTACACGACTGAGTGAAATATTTCCTCTGAAGTCCAGAAAAAAGTGAGAAACAGTATAGTATTGTACAGTGTTATGGCGGAGGACTCTACTCACAAGATTGTTTGTTAGTAGCATGAAGCAAAACGTGGGGTTGAAACTATCACGGTCGTCTAGAGAAGAGAAAAGTTTATAATGACATTAATATTCAATGATTTTTGTAACGACATTTTCTCTTTATTTACTACACTATATAACCATATTTATATCCAAAGCCTATTGCTATGTGTTTATGAAAAAACGGGCGTAATTGATTGGTTGAATAATGCTCATGCAATTGTGGTTATTCAAATAAAACTCCATCTCTGTCACATATTCTTCTGCTTCATTGGCCACGGTTTGTAACTGAAGATTATAAAGCTCTTTTAACACCCTTTTAAGCCATTTTATATCATGTTGGAATTTCGGCCTGGATTATTATTCAGTGATACTATCGGATTTATATGTCGGGTCACGCAATCGCTGCTACCGCGTGCAGAGGAACCTTCGTTAATCAAGTGAACTGATTTGTGATTGTTATCTTTGAAGTGACTCTCAAGTAACATTCATTTCGTGATGATTGTTATCAATTTTTGTCGTTTAATATACCATTTCTTAGTAATTGCTGTTTGTTTTGCTCATAAACAGACATTTGGTTTGTATTTTTAATATTTTTGGGTGTATAAATAACTTTGTGCGTTGTTACCTCTGCATTAAGTTCTTTTACTGGAATTCCCCATAATTTTCAGTACATCGAAAGCATAGTAACGGTAGAACATTTTAAGACTAGACGGGAAGACGATTCTGATTGCAGAACACACCGAAAGATGCAAATGGGTAATTGAAGCCTATGTATATGTGATATGAAAACACTGATTTCTCACAATTGATTCCATTTGCTAAATGTCTCGTTTTACACTAATTGTACACCCATATCACTACAAACTGGTAAAATTCATTCATTGGTCAGCTTTCATAATGGTCAGTTTAGAGCATATTTTGGAGGCTGGAGAGAGTTGTTTTGAACTGGTGAGCATCTGAGACTGTTCACTACTGGACTATACAATATTAGGATTAAACATGCTTTCAATGTTCAGTGGACTGTAGCAACTATAGTGTAGTGTTTGTATGAACTAATGGTTCCTTCGTACTTATTGACTGCTTGATTTTGAATTCCGAATACAATAGGTTTGTTCGTGCTCATCTAATACTTTTTGGTTAAAGTGCATTATTTCTGGGATTCTTAGTTTGTACTATGATTCAAATACATCTTATTGCCACATATAATCGTGAAGATAAATTAGAACAACAGTATTTTTCAAACTTGTGAAGTTATTAAAATGTCTAACATGAACCACTCATAAATTGTCATCGATCCACAGATACTTTTGTTTTATTTCCACTTTATTCAGCCGAACAATAAATAATTCTACAGCACAAGAGATTTACAATTTTTTGTTTCATAGAATATATTTCATACATATTAATGACTTGTGGTTTTCGGGTCTGAACCAAACTGTCAAAATGAAATATGATAAATTCTAGTACTACCACACACTTAGATGATTCATGATAGCTTTTGAACGGACTTTAAAAACTCAGACAGCACATTGAGTCACTTTTACCTTCATAATAACTCCATTTTTCCATAGGAAATTGTAATCCTCAGTAAATATACATCTTAAATTCATGCTCCCTTAGTTCTACGCTCATATGCCTATTGTACACTCATATGTCTGTCACTCGTCATTTTATCTAGTCCCTAACTTTTTCACACCGCGCATTACCTATTTTGAGCGTGTGTGTGTACCGTTTACCCTATTCATCACCTGTCTTTAGCCTATTTTTGTATGGCTATGATTCGTGAGTGATGTGTAGTGACCTACTTTTATCAAGAGAACGCGATTGGTTTAATGGAAACAATCATTATTATAACCAATTTTATCAGTGATTGTTTTACTGTACTTGCTTAATTATCTGTACTAAGGACATTGTTCCTTCCTTTAATTGTAACCTTGCACGAATTCAGTTACGCTCAGTAACCAAACTTGTACTCCTTTGGCACAATCGCGGTAATATTTCGATACCACGAGATCTCCAACGAATACATCTCGACTACAGCCATCAACTGCCTTCTGATATTTGGCTTACGGGGGATTTTATCGGTTAACTGGCACGTAGTCTTCCTGTAGTGGTGATCATAGTCAACCGCGACTCGACGCCACGCTACAGATACTTCATTAAAATGAGTTGGCAATCTTGCCTTCTTCACTTTGCTTCATTTCCTCACTTATTATTTTGAATGTCTGATTACGTTAACGAATATCTGAAATAAATTTATTCTACTCAGTCCTTAGTTGGCTTCGTTTCATCGCCGTCGTCCAAATGGAGTTGGTCCAACAACAGTGTACGGAAATAAACGGAAGATCTAAGTTCATAGCATATTTAATCGTTCGTCTAAATAAGAGTTAGATCTTGGCCCGCTAAATTACCGATTGTATTTAGAGAGTTGATTGAAATTAAAATTTGGCTGCATACATCCCATCAAAACAAAGGTGTTTTAGAAGAACAAATGATATACAACAAAAGCACGACCAACAATTGAACAAGATTACTTGTGAAATTCTCTCCGATTATTTGTAACCCAGAAGTAAAATTTTTAATTCGTCGTTTTGCTTGACATCTAGTTCATTTTGATTCCGGTCTAACCTGATGATTAAATACTTTCAGAATGCTAAATTATGTGTCCGTGGTACTTGTCAGGAACTGACCTTGGTTGAGGTATCATTGAGAACAAAGCAGAATTAAGATAACAGTCTCGTTTTATTGTAATGCTCCTCAGAAGCACTCAATGACAATACTTTCAAAATATGGACCCACAATCTTCAGGTTTCACAGTGAGTTTACTTAAGTGAGTGAATGAAATTATAGTTAAACTTAGAAAACGTGTATGATGAGCGAAATATATGGTGCTCATTTCGAATATTAGTTTTGTATATTTAAGGTGCTTCTGTGGCTGTTGTCTCATTCCGTTTTGTGTAAAGGCATGTAAAGATGTTGATCACAAATGTCTTGAATGCAGTTGTAGTGACTCACATTTATCACGAGAACACGACTGGTTTAATAAAAACAATTATTATTATAACCAACTGTACCAGTGATTGTTTTAACGTGCTTTTGTTTGATTGTGCTAATGACAGCTATTTTGTGCTTCCATTCATATACTTACACTTTGATTGTAACTTCGCGCGAATTCGGTTACGTTCTGTAACCAAGCTTGTATCCTGGCACGATCTCGGTATCCTTTCGATACCACGAGATCGCCAGCAAATATATATCTCGATTTGGTTCATTAATTGCCTTCTGGTATTTGGCTTCTCGAGGATTTCATGAATTTCTTTGGTTACGTCCAACCTTCGCCTTCTGATCAACTTGGTACGTGTTTCTTGGTAGCGGTGTTCATAGTCA